AAAGGTACAGGGGGTGGACTGCTGAGGACTGAGGTAAAGTCATTTTCTCTGATGAATCCCTTTTCCGATTGTTTAGGACATCTGGAAAACAGCTTGTTCACAGAAGACGAGGTGAGCACTACCACCAGTCTTGTCTCATGCCAACTGTAAAGCATCCTGAAATCATTCATGTGTGGGGTTGCTTCTCAGCCAAGGGAGTCGGCGCTCTCACAGTCTTACCTAAAAACACAGCCATGAATAAAGAATGGTACCAGAACGTCCTCCGAGAGCAACTTCTCCCAACCGTCCAAGAGCAGTTTGGTGATGAACAATGCCTTTTTCAGCATGATGGAGCATGTTGCCATAAAGCAAAGGTGTTATCTAACTGGCTCAAAACAGAGATTTGGGTCCATGTCCTGGAAACTCCCCTGATCTTAATCCCATTGAAAACTTGTGGTCAATCATCAAGAGATGGGTGGAAAAACAAAAACCTAGGAATTCTGAGAAAATGCAAGCATTGATTGTGCAAGAATGGACTGCTATCAGTCAGGATTTGGTCCAGAAGTTGATGAAAAGCATGCCAGGGATAATTGCAGAAGTCCTGAAGAAGAGGGGTCAACACTGCAAATATTGACTTGCTGCAATAACTCATTCTAACTGTCATTAAAAGCTTTTGTTACTCATAATATGATTGCAATTGTATTTCTATATGTGATGACAACATCTGACATACACACATGAAAACCAGAGGGCAGCAGATCATGTGAAAATATAATATTTGTGTCATTCTCAATACTTTTGGCCATTTTATGATAAATCAGTTATACTAATGAGTCAAATTTCTATGTCCGGAAGAAAGGAGAAAAACATACTATTTAAGAAAGAAAGAATGGGTCAGAACTTTGTGGAACAATTGGAAAATAAGGGAAACTACTGGAGCACAGGCTTCACTGTATAGATATGTTATGGTTTAATGAAGAAAATATGTTCTATTTGGATACAAAAGGCAAAAGTTTTTTTTTAAAGATTCTATTCTATATAAATCCCCAAAATGATTGCTTACCATATGTAAACCTTTGAATGCCTGCACTTCTATTTTTAGTTGATTTTAGTTTATTTCACAAAGTTGAATAGTCTTTATTTACCAAAGCCTTTACGAAAGCCTTAAGCATCATTAGCTTACATCACCACATACAGTGATGCATTAATGCTTCCACATGATTGTAGAAATAAGATCAGGGGGGATTTACCGTTAGCGGTACTAGGCAGTTGCCTCGGGCCCCCATAAAACTCTGTTTACATGTAGGGTTAATACAAGTATTCCTTATTTGTACACATTAATTATGTTTTTGATAAAAAAAAAATCCTTTGCTAAAATGCCATCAGAATGCTTATAATAAGTTTGTCTCAGCCCCCCTTCAGTGTCCACCACATTGGATCGGTACATCTGCTGCAGATGTTTAGAAAGAAACAGACAGCAGCAAAACGTTTGAAACAAATGGTGCGAAGAGCAATGTTGCCAACTTAGCACTTTAGTCGCTATATTTAGCTACTTTTCAGACCACTCTAGTACTTTGATTTCAAAAAAGCCCCTAGCCAAATATAGTGACTTTTTTTCTGCTACTGAAGACCATGTCGACAACATATAGAAGCAGCGAACTCTGCTCTCCAGAGCAAGTAGATTGGTAACCTCGCCTCCTGCTCTCCTCTATCTTGTCTGCTGTCATGATTCATGCAGCTTTTATTTCATCCAAATGAAAAATGGAGAACATATAAACAGATCATTGCTTGTCTGCAGTGAAAAGAAGGACTGTGTTATTTACTTTAGCTGTCGCCTTTTTGGAAACACAGGGAGAAGCAATCAGCAAAGTGAGCTTAGTGCTTGGAAAAAATCTTTCATTCCTTTTGAGACAGCATGAAATCTCAGCTGAGTACAAAACATAGAGAAGAAAACAAAAAAGGGAAAAGAAGAGAGGGACTAAACACAGAACAAATAATGTATGTTTATTCTACTAAAATTTCTGTATCTGTATAATGGGTTTGTTTTATGTGTTTTCAATTCACAGGGCCCCCTGCCTGTTTTGGCCTGGGCCCCCAAATTTTCTAATTCCGCCTCTGAATGTGAGATGGCTTCATACTTTCTAACAGCAGGAGGAAAATTCTACCGTTGCCGTGGTAACCGTCCTAGTAACCAGGCGCTGGTTAATTTTAACATCGCGCGCTCTGACTGTTAAGACATTTATCGGCACTTCGAATAGACTTTGGAGAAAAACACAACAGTTTTCTGTAACCTGTAATGGAAGAAGGCAAAATAATGTCCGACGTTATGGAGACGATGTAAGTAAATGGCCTTAATATTTACTACAAGTTATGTGTTAAATGAAAATCTACTTAATTCATAGTATTTCATACAAACCTTTACCACATTACACTAAATTTATCGGAATGTTACATGTTTTGGCAAAACAGTTTGGGTACCTTTCATTTTTACTTATTCACATTTATGGGAACCTAAAAAGATTAGTAACAGTGAAAGATGTCGGTTTGTAACTGGCACATTGAAACAGATTCACCGTTATTAAAGCAGAATAACGTCTGCTAGCCCTTAGCTAAATGAGGGTAAAGCTAAGGACGAAGCAGCATTTTAAAACATTTAGATTAGTTTGGCTCTACGTCAGGAACTCGAAGAGGTCACAGTAGAAAAAGTTTGTTATTTGGAGCTGATATATAAACTCTTGGAGTATTTAGTGAACTTATTAGGAGCATTTTAAGTGTAAGCTAACAGTAGCTAACAGAAGGTTGGTAGGGTTTTTCAAGAGAAAGGGGAGCCGTTAGACATTCTGGACGTACCTTCCTCCGCTGCAAGCTGGTCAAAATTAAAGCGCCAAAAAGGAGGATTCTTGGATACAGTTATAAGAGCAAGAGCTAAGAAGTGACGGGCAGCACACGTGGGCTTGTTTTCAACGGAAGTTAAGTTGGAAAAAAAAAAACTGGACAGGCATTACCCATAATGCACCGCAAGGACGCAGACCGAATGATGTGAAATAAACTTTACAGGGGGTTCAAGGTTTAAAAATATATGGTTTATATAAAGCAAGAATATCTAATTTAGTTTAAATTAAAAGAAAATACACGTAAGCCTTTAAAGGTTCCCATCCTCCCCAGTAATATTTAAAAAACACGGTTGTTTTACAGAAAGTTTGCAACCGTTCTCTATTTCAGTGATGTGTTTCTCTGTATTTATACTGAATAAAATTTTACAATAAAAATGTTCAATAAATATTTTCAATGATGAAATAATAGTGTTTTAAGTAAAACGGAGTATTTCTTCTCTGTGTGACGTCACAATAGGCTCACAGACTAGGCTGTGATTCAATTCGATTAAAAAATATATATTCGTCTTTAAAGGACGTTAACCAAAATCATTCTCATCTGTAAATATTGCACCAAATCCCATTTAACATATTCTTTTAATAGTTCTCTAATTTTTTTCTAAATGCTTCTGATTTGCAAAGCATCCAAGCATTGACTCTAATTAATCACATAAAGGCAGGATCTGATCATATTCTCCTTTCATTTCTGGGAAATTTTTAGGAAATTACAGAAGAAGAAGCATTTCTGTGGAGAACGTTAACTGGAATGCATTGACTAAAAAAACACATTGGTTGGTAAAAGGATTTGATCCTGAATCCACAACAACAGCTGATACCAATCATGTCCTCAAAGAGCTTAAAATATTTTAAAATCTGTTTTATGGATTTTAGAGGCCTAGGAGGTTTTGACCAGCAGAAAGATTTACTCCTCTTTATTGTGAATCTACTGACTGGATTTGATGATGTTTAGTAATATTAGTACGGAAGAGGATTTGGGCCACTGGGGGAAAAAAAAAAGTTAACTGATTTTTAGATATTATTTCAGTTTAATATTGGGGAAAAAGTCAGAATTCTGACTTTAATCTTAGAATTCTGATTTGTTTCTCAGAATTCTGACTTTTGTTTCTCAGAATTCTGGGATTAAAGTCAGAATTCCAAGAAAAAAGTCTGAATTCTGAGATTAAAGTCA